TGTACATCATGATCACGCTTTATTCGCAAAAAGATTGAGAAAAGAATATCCAGGATTTCAATTATTGAATTCACAGGTGGGATTGTTAATGACTTCCTTCGAGATTCTTTTAATTGCATCTAGACAGAACTTTTAATTGATTCTACTCTTGTATTAAACTTAATAAACATCAATTACCCTTTTCTATACTTCTTCAACGATCTGAAAATTGAGTTGTTTATAAAAAGTATAAAAGAAAAAATGTTTCTAAAGCAGGTTCATTGAATAAGCGATTATAAAAATATGAGGTATGGAAAACGCAAATAAACCTTAAATAAATCTTAATATTAGAAACACTGAGTAAACAGTTATAAATGACTGTGGCGTATCGTGTCGTAAATAGAGAAAAATTGATTTTCAATGCCGTCTAGATTTTGTTCATTCCAAAAAAAATTGTGTCAGACTTAACGCTGAATAATTCATGATCTGTTCGAGATTAAGGCGAGAAATTTGCATTGTCGTGCGACAAAACATGTAATGTGAGTGAAATTGCGTCATATAACTCAAGTTGTGCTATCATAATGATCATTCAGCTTGGTATTTACGCAAATTTCTCTTCCGTATTGTGACGCTCATAATATGCAAATATGAGAATTAAGAAGATGAACACATACAGTGAAAGTTCTGAAAAAAATTATGATAAATTTTTTGTTATTTCTTATTAACAAGAAAAATATTGGAATGCGATTCTATTATATGAGATTTTATCATACAGAGTTGTAACTGTAACATTTTTTCCGTTTGATTAACAATTCGACACACAAAACATTCTACATTTCCTTAATACTTACCTTGAAACGTTTTGAGTTCATATCGTTATATTCTATCAAAATATTAAAACACTTGACGTTGCAAAAATTCTTTACTTTAATTATTAATTTATCTAGCTTACAATCTTTCTTATTTTAGTATAAAAATAATGTTCAGAATCAATTGAATCTTTTAGAAAATAGTAATTATTTTAGTCTTTCTAACGTTAATGAGATTAAGGAGTTCATATCTGTAGATAGCAAATTTTTACGGAAGCGTAGTAAGAAAACATTTTTCTCCATTTATTGTTCAAAGTGCAGATAGAAGAAAAGCACTTAATTAATGTTTAAGCAGCCTTCCTTAAGCTTTCACCTGTTGAAGATAAAGAAAAACAGAAATAATTACATATTAGACAAATGGAGATCAAATCATATCAAATAACTTACAATCTCTTTGATATCTCCGTACAGCTAATTCACGTTCATTTGCATCAAAGTACCAAAGCGTAATTGCGTAGCGTGTCCGATGTGCAGGTTGCACTTCATGTGGATTTCTTCGATCGGACCAAAAAAATGTGATTCTATCAAAAATTGGTTCAATATCTGCAACACGGTCTGACCATCCATCAGGAAATATTCTTAATAGGCCACCACTTTCACTCACATCCCAATCAACGTTCAAATAATAAATGCATGTTATACATCGGCCGTCTCTATTCGGATTATCAACGTGCTTAACATAATGTGAACCTTTACCTTCATAACAAGCAACCATCGCCTGAAAAGAGAAAGAACAAAAACTGTTTTTATTATATCGAACTTGTGCGATAAATTGCACGTAGACCTCTTTTTGTTTCGTTTTACGTTAGTTTTTATATTTCATTTATCCGTTGCCTTATCTTATTATTTTTTATTATCTAAGTTTCCTTTTTCCTCTTCATATTCAATTCGTATAAGAATTATTTATTGACTGACATTGACAATGCTAATAACATAATATTTAATAGAATTTATTAGCGTTTCAACGTAAGATATTTCAAAGGTCTTCTTTTTATTAGCATCACAGTAATAAGTACTATCACAGTTTCAATCTTAGAT